TTCTGCCCAACAAGAACATGAATTTCCTTGATTCAGCCAGGTATACATCCACAGATTCACCGTATCACAGTTGGCACTCGATGAGTTATTTGTATGCCATGAACAAATCCCTAGCAAAGGCTGTAACTAAGGCAGACTTTATCCGGTCAATGTTCGTTATCCAGCTGCTGGTAATACTGCCAATGCTCCACCCATCAGTCTCAAAGGGATCACATGCTTCAGAGAATTCACTCCACATAGCCTGCACGAATTCCAGCTTCTCCATCCATTCAATCACTGGAAGACCAGACACTGATCTGTTAAACTCTGGAATTAATTTTAAGTCAAATTTGGTATCTGTCATCATCCATCAATTGCCAAAATAGCTTGTGTTCATCTTGTCTTGTTTTCCACGTGTCAAGAGCACTTTTTTCCCTGACTAAGAAAAAGCTGGTGTTATATAACTCTCTCAGTTCCAGATCCATGCTGACTATTGGCTAATATCTGCCCAGCATCATTTGTATGCAAATTTTGTCAATGCCATCTACTGTAAGTAGGTCTTCTTTCAACAGTCAATTATGAAAGAGGACGCAAATCCTGGTTGTTTACTGCACAACACGCAACCAACTCTGGGTCTCTTGTCAGGATGACCCAATTCTCCCTTACATTATCCAAAGTGAATGTTTTTTTTTTGTTTTTTGTTTTTTTTTCCCCTGTTATATTAAAGTGCTTTTAACTATCACAGTTATTGTCTCATTTGGAAATTGGGAAGATATAATAAAAAGTTGGTTGGATAGACAGAGCGTGTTGATGGAATTTAATAAAACTTGTTTGGCGATATATAGTTACAGAGTTGTAGCATATAGGTGAACCACAAGTTCAAGGAAAAGGTGGGATCCTTTCTCAGTGTTCACTCAGGGATGGAAGTGACACAAAGGAGTCAGCAAAAAACAGACAAGATGAAGGATTTAAAAATTTACAAAAACAGATAAAAAGAAAAATTTGTCTAACCAAGGGGAAAGGGATTATAAAAGAACAGAAGGTATGAGCAAATACATATATATAACAAGATCAAGCCAAGAAATCAACTTATCTGTCTTGATGGGTCAGTCGAGTTGATATTTCCACATGGTTCTGATTCACTGAAGCAAGAGTCCTTATGTGAAAACAATATTTCATCAGCCGGCAATTTCACTGGAGTCTTTCTTTAACAATGGCATGGGATTCACAGTGAATCATACAGGCGTTCATTGGTCAATTCGGCTTAGGTATATAGTAGCCTTTGTTGTTTTCTTTATTCTGGTGGGCAGTCCATTAAGAATCGGAGGAAACTGCCTTCTTTTTTTTAGATTTTTGCTCTCCTCAAGGTTTGTTATATAGGTTTCCCTTTGACCTTGACCAGGTACTTAGGAGGATGGGATGCAAATCATGAGGTGGTTGTGGGATGACCAAAGATCCAAGCAACCCTCAGTAGGGTCTGATCATGTGATTGCACTAGGGCAGCATGATGGTGCCTGGAGTTAACTCATGGTCAATCATCAGATGGTACTTGATTTTGGAACAAGGATTAGGATTTTATTTTTTTTTTTTTTTTGCTTTTTAGCCTTATACCTGTATAGCTAATGAAATCAGAGGTATATCACACACACCCGCACACAAAACTAGTATTTTAAATGATTTGAAATCTTTTTGTGTTTGTATAGGTTCGGTTTTGTCTTTAAAATTGAATTTGTGGGAAGCATAAAGCATCTCTCAAATGCTGGAAAATCTGTTCATGTATATTAAAAATATTCATGAACACATTTTGATGCTAATAACTTAATTTAGTTTTCTTTTGTACAAGATATTTAATTTTTGTCCCTTTAAGTATTCCAAATTAAAGTTGAAAAATATGAAACTCTTTAAATTCTCACCAGAGATTTTATGCCCAATGTGTAAAAAGAAAGCAAGCATTTGAAAAAGTTGAGCAAAACCTTGGGTATAATCTTGAATAATCAGATTATACATTAGTTCAGTTATCTATTAGGTTGTGTTATAGACAAGCGTATGGTTGCAAGAAAGAAATACGACAACAGCAGAAATAGATTTACGTGGTTTATTTCAACAGGAACTTGTGGGTTTGGGACAGCTACTTTGTGGTAAAGTTCATAAGCCGGCTTCGAATCTAGGTCGATCTCTCATAGTAGTTCACACATGTTGACGGTGGTTGATGCTCCCCTGCTGTCAGCAGCTGACCGTGACAGGTCTCTACTCTGGGCACCTGTGGACTGCCTGTTGAACTTCCGTGTGACTCCTTTTATAGCATTTTTTATGGCTTAACAGGCTCGAAAAACGAAGCGAGTATAATTAGGAGGGAAGTATTTTTATTGGACGAAAAATAGAGCACTTTAAATATTTTATTTTTCGACCGGAACACGTGTGTGGGGAACATTTGTAAAGAAGGATAATGGTCATTTTGTGACGGGGCTTTTTCCCGTTCACATCCGGTACTCGCTCTTGAGTATTTGCCTGTAAATCAGCCAAGATATGTCTTATTTTATTTTATAACAGTCATAAGTAATTTCTGTTAGATTGGCAATTAGGCTTCATCATGTTGCAGTTGAAAATGCTAGATGTAACCCTAAGTTCTATGCTAATAGTTTCTTCTATCGCACTTCCCACCTGTGGAACTCTCTTTCAGCTTCTTGTTTTTCTGTTAACTAAAAACTTCAAAAATTTAAAGACTATAACAATAGTCATTTTCTGTCCCCGTGAATCCATTCTTTTTTTATTGTCCTTTCTCCTCAGTAACTTTTTCCTACTTTCTTTTCTCAGTAACCCATTACAATTTAGTGGATTTATTGACTTGCCTAGTGTGAAAAAACAAACAATTGTAATATTTTGAAGAATAAAGTTGATTTTAAAAAAGAAAAAATGAAAATTATTCATAACTCAACTTAAAATCTACTATAACACAAGTATATTCATATATTTCTTGTCTGTAACTTTTACTGTATTAAAATGTACATAAAATAAATGAATCCTGCTTTGATTTGAACTCCAACCTAAAGATATCCAACCAAGTGACATCTCCACTCTGCCAATGTTATTCTGTTTGAGCAGCATGGTAAAATTAACTAGCAAGTACTAATTGAGACACAGTGCACAGATACTACACTGATCATAGGCAGAAGTAAGGATTTAACAAAATATCTTTCTGATGACACAGGTAAAATAGTTTTTAAGAATTCTTATGAAGTAACTCATGTAAATTGTTTATCTTTTAATTTAGTATTTTTTTTTCTTGGTTTCTTTGACTTTATGGTATAATTTTTTAAGAATGATATTCCACACTACCCCAAACAAAGGATAAGAAAGGAAACCCTATCAGTACTGGAAAGGGCATTAACACTGACTGGACTCGAGAAACCTATTTTTCTGGAAATTTGTTTTAAGAGAAAGATTCTATAAATTTTAACTGACATCAAGTCTAAATACTTGGTCAATGAATCCCGAATGTTTCCTTATAAGGAAACAGCTAATATTACTTTTAACATGCAAAAATTTTGGATTATTAATTATATACTATTGTAATAAATTTAAAAAGGTGGAAGCAGTGTGTATTTGTAAATAAATTAATTTCTGTATTGTAAAAATTTTTCTTATTCTTTTTATATTTTAATTATTGTTTAGAAAATACGGTCCTTAAAATTTGCTTTTTCATTTTGCATACTGAAATAATCTTTGAGTATCTGTCTGATATAAATTAAGGATGAAATTTGTAGATATTCTGGAATTAGACAATTATATGATGATATCACTAAGGTTGTTGTTGACATTTTTATATCTCCTTTTACTGGAGTGATATCTGGTTATGCTTTAAACATATTTAATTTATTTATCTTTGATATAAGTAATTTATATTTATCTTTCTAAAATTCTTTATTTGGGGAAATTTGGCTGATGTGTAGATGTTAATTTTTTTTTCTTACATTTCTTTCCCATTCAACTCCATCAACCTTTCATTTTTCCCACATTCTCTGTATATAGAACTAGGAGTGGTCTATGGAAGCAGGGGCATTCTCTGTTTACACTACATTACAAATGTTGCTTGCTCACAGTTTATACTAAGAAATAAAGGAATAGGAAATTTTTTAAAAATATCAAATATACAAGTATAGTAAAAGTTATCAGTAATTAAATTCTTTTATTACACCCATCCTTGGTATGATGATAAACTACATCCAGCAGCAAAGCCTCTAATCAGGGGCAGGGGTTGAGGAGCATGGAACCCCATCTTAATTGATGTTGTTCCCAGGTTCACCCAAACCTATAATGGTAGCACTATGAGCAAATAGTGAATCCTCCAAACTGGGATCAAAACACTATGAAAGTATAAAAATACATTTTCATAGTAAAATTACTAGCAATAAATTTTAGTAGTAAAAAAAAATAATTTTCAACAATAGATTTTAATAGTAAAAAATCAAATGATAATTTCCAGTAATACATTTTATTAGTAAAAAGAAAAAATTACCAAAGCTCTCAAGAAAATTAACTTTCATTATTAAATAAAGTGTTAATGTTATTAAACAAAATTTTATTACACAAAAATTATTTATCCTGTAAAAAAAAAAAAATCTAAGGCATGTAGTGTATACATGGAGCCTTCGATACTGAATGTGACATTAATTGTGGACAAAAGTTATAATTCTTTTTTCCTTCTGATCAGTGTTTGAAATTGGGCATTGACCAAAAATAAATGTTGATTTTTTTTTTTTTTTTTTTTTTTTTTCAAAGTGAACAAGTTTTGAACCAAACTGAGTTAAGCTTTATTAAAATTGTACATTTTTGTATTTTTTTTTTTTTTTAAAGATGTTTAAAATGTGTGTCTTTTTTTCCTCTCTCTGAATGACTGTTGCTTAACCCTCTTCTTCCACATCTTTCTCTCCAATGGCTGACAGGTTGTATTTAATGTAACATTTTCTTTTTCTTTTTCTCTCCTTTCTTTTTCTGTCTCTTTTTGTTCATGTTGCGGTCAGATGGGAAAAAATGCCTCAAAACAGAAGACTGTTACTCCTCGCATGCAACCTCTTGTTGCCATGCAACCACAGTGCCCGGACGAACTTTTCTTGGTATGTAAAGTTGTATGCACTGAAAATATTTGTGCAGCATCCCTTGTTACTATGACTACAAAACACCTCACTATACCATACACTCTACTTGGAATGTTGAAACGCTTCTCGCTCACCCCTAATTTTACTCACAAAAAAAGTCTTCCCCTCTTTAGTCCAGCTCGTATTCCAGACTGTTCAATTTCTCTAAACTCTTGTATTCTTGCTAATTTAGCCAAATTATTAATCTATAGGGATATAGATTAATTTTGGTTCGATAAAGTTGATCAAAATATAAAATTGTTTGATTTTTAAAAAAGAAAAAAAAATATTACCAACTATGATAGTGATTTGCACCCTTTTTGCCATAAGTCACAATCGCCACACATTTTACAAGATTGTCCAACTCAAAAATTTAATTCAAAATAATATGTATATCTTATTGAAAATCTTCATTCTTTTCCATATTATTGCATATTTTTACATGGACTATTTTTTAATACAAATTTACCAATTTAATAGCAATAGAAAATGATGATGGATTTTTAAAATTGAATACATGTACAGTAATTAGTTTTAGCTCATAACTAATTATTAAATAAATAAACTGAAACATACTTCAATAAACAAGTAGAATGCCAGGGTATTGTAATTCAATTCTGTAAATAAAAAACAAGAAAAAATAAAATGGGCCTCCCCTCAAATATTGCTAGCTCCCCATCCCCACTGAGAACCCCCTGAACTACAGTATCAGCACCATCATTGTCTTGGCACATTAAAGCCAGAGAAATCATGACATGCACTTTTCAGTAAGTTATAAGAAATATTAGACAACTACTTTAGTAATCTCGAACATGCCTTTATCTTGTGTGGGTATAAGCAGAAAATCCACTCCATTTTCACCATTTTTGTTACCTTTTGATTAAATATCCTAAAGGATCACAGGATCTTGAAATGGCTGTGGCTATTTAGCAATGGAAAGCGCACTGGATTTTCAATTAGGAGGATAATTTATTAAAAAACATGTTGGTACAAATTTATTTCTGTTATCTGCAAATTTATACTCAAGAATGCATTCATTTGAGCTGAATAATCTCTTAAATGTCCTCCTCAGCTCATTTGCAGCTTCAGTTAATTCTTGTTGAACCCAGAAATACAAACAATTCATCAGTTTAATTTTACAAGTCTCACAAAGTTGACAACTCAAATGGGCACAAAGTATCTTTTTCTTTTTTTTGTTTAAATAAAAAGGTGAAAATAATTAACTTGGTAAGGAAAGGTGAAAAAACTCATCTGCTGAGATTGCTAAAATGCATATTAAAAATGAATCCGTCATATATAATTAAATCAATTTCATGATTAGTCATTACCATTTTCTTTTGTCTACTTTATAAATTAAAATTAAGCTCAACTATGTGTATATAGAAAAATTTGTGTGTGCAAAAAAGGCACACAAACCACTATTACCAAATACAATATATAAAGAGCAATACTTAAATTTCCGTTTTTATATATATATATATATATATATATATATATATATATAGGAATTGGAATCAAATACAGATTGGAATGTAATAGAATGAAAGGATAAAAAAAAAAATAGGAAAATTTTATTGAACCTTCATCGGAGAATGAGATATGGATAAAAATGAATGCTACTTGATTATCAACTTTCATGGATTTTTACATCTAATCCCTGACAAATTTTTTGCTGGCTTATTTATATATATATATATATATGGCACGATGGGTAAATTGTTGCCATTTTATATTTTTAATTTCAAGCATGTGCATTATTTGTTTTTGATTTTGTTGACCTGACAGTATAGTCAGGTCAGTTGGGTATCATCTGTGAGAAAGAGGCCCATGATGCAATTCACTCTGCCAGAATTTTGGGAATGGCATACTGTACTGCTTGGCATTTGTGCCGAAAGCTCCAATACGAACATTTCAGAGTGTTTGGATGTCAATCCGAGGACAGTGCAGAGGATTCAGAAAGTGTTGGATGATATATACAGTCAACATCATGGTGTTTGGAGTGATTACTAGTTGCGGTGAGGTTATGCCCTCATTCATCTTTCCGTGGGGCCTCTGACTCAACACAGTGCCCTGAGGTGGTGGTGATGCCCTGGGCCAAGAGGTCTAGCTGATGGAAGACCCTATGTCTGGCAACAGGACTCTGCACCATGCCACACAAACAGGAGAACCCAGTCATGGTTGTCAGTTGAGCAAGAGACCAACAAAACTCCTTGTAACACCAAAGATTAACTGAAGGCAAGGATTATGGCAGCATTGATGAACTTAAACAAGGAGACCATCCAGAAGAGTTACAGGAGATTCTGAAGTTGTTGGTTGAAGCCAATAGTGATTTTATTGAATGAATTTATTCTTTAGTATTTCAAGATATTTGTGTAATTTTGGTAAATATATCTTAAAATGAAATGTCAGTGTTAGTCTCATTTTTGTGTAATTTAGACGATTGTTTATCCATAGCACACTGTGTGTGTGTGTATAAATAATATATATATATATATATATATATATATATATATAACAAAAGAATATAGTCTGTGATAAACTTAAGTCAGCAAAAAATATGGCAGTAATTAGATGTAAAAATCCATGAAACTGAGTACAGATTTATATAGTGAACTATGTGTATCTATTTGTGTTTATTTAAAATAATGAAATAATTTCTAAGCTGGTATTGCTTGTGACTTTTTTTTAAAAAAAAGAAAAAAGTCTTAACATTTTATATTCTTTGCTTTAAGTGTCCGAGTTTAGAGATAGAAATCCATCAGAATGGGTAGAAAATGAAAGAGTTCGTTTTTATCCATGCATATTCTCCAAAATATATTAAGAATTTGGGAAATCTGATTCTGACAGAATTATACATTAATGACAATTGAAAAAAAATTTCAAATTATTGAAATATTATTTGACATTGACAAATACTGTTTTTTCTTTTATCTCTTCTTAAATCGTGCTCTTCTCTTAACTGTATTAATATTATTCTTATTAATATTATTCTTATTTATATTAATATTATTTATATTAATATTATTTATATTAATAATATTATTCTTATTTATATTATTATTATTTTATTTATATTATTTATATTATTATTATTATTCTTATTTATATTAATATTATTAATATTATTCTTATTTATATTAATATTATTAATATTATTCTTATTTATATTAATATTATTCTTATTTATATTAATATTATTAATATTATTCTTATTTATATTAATATTAATAATAGCAATTGGCCTTTGAGTGATATTCATACCAAAATTTTAATGATAATTTGCAATAAAATTGTCTAAAATTTGTTAGATTAACTCCCTTTATCAATTTAAAAATAAGTTTTATTATTTTGTAAAAAATTCAAAATAAAGGCTGTCTGTCTTATATATCATAATGAGACTTAAAATCTTTTAGCAACATTAGTAATTCTTAGCTTTATAAGAAAATAATTCTAAAAAACAATCCTGTTTTAATATTATTTTAAGAAATAATATCCAATACCCTAGTATTCTACTAATGACAATAGGCAAAGTTTAGACAGGTTCAAACATTTTACTCCATTGTCTCTTGAAAAACAGAAATAAGGTCTGAGTAGAAATTGTTTTATATATATATATATATATATATATATATATATATATATATACACACACACACTCTCTCTCTCCAAATGAGAGAAAGAACAGATGGAGTAAAAATCTACTGTTCATAGCATTTACTTTTTAAAAAAACGTGCTTAATACAAAGTAAAGCAATATATTATTATTATATTTTTGTTATAAGAGATTATAATAAAAACATTTTTGAATCGCAACACAAAAAGTTTGTTTCAATATTATGATTGTACTGGTTCAGGTGATGGTAAGTGACTGGTGATTAAAAGATTTTTAAGGAAATTTAAAAAAAAAAAAGAAGTGTTACCTCTTTTTCAAAAGTTAGTTATGACATGAAAAAATAACTCACCCACCTCCATCCTCTGAGCTTACTTTTCAAATTAGCATAGATCTGACATTTAATTAGTTAATCATGACCTACCTACACGTCTATTTTTAATTCTGACCTTATACACCCTCCTGTTAACTTTCGGAATAGAGGTAACACTTTGTTTTTAAATTTCCTTAAAAATCATTTAATAGCCAGTTATTTACCATCACCTGAACAAGTACAATCATACTATTGAAACATGAAAGCTTTTGTGTAGCGTTTTCAAAAATGTTTTTATTATAATCTCTTATAATAAAAATACTATATACATATTTATTTATTTATTTAAAATATTTCTTTATCTATGATTTTGTGATAATAAATACAAATCTCTGTATATTTGCACTTGAATTAAATTTCTGAAAGAGAGGAAATAGGTGATGAGACGGAATTGTTTTTGATAGGCACAAACTTTGTCTTTATGAAATTAAAAAAATATTTTAATTTGGTCACTTTTCAAAAAAAAAAACATTTTAACTAAGAAATTAAAGCTCTTAAAAATTTTAAGGATTGTTTATTTAAAATATAAGATGAGAAACATTATGTAACTAACAGATAATAGCAAATCAAAGAAACAAAAAAATGAACAATATAATCATTTCATATGAAACAATCTTGAAGTCTGGCATTATAGCTGGGATGTGAATTCAGCTCAAACCTGTGATCTGTTTATTAGAAACATTTTCTTTTATTTATTCACAGCATGATTGTATATTAGTTAATATTCTGTACACCTGCAAGCAATATTGTCTTTGTTGTTACCTATACACTATATTGTCTCAGAAATTAGGATCAGTAAGACTGATTTTACTGGGGTTTTTTTTTTTTTTTTTTTTTTTTAAAGTTGAGTTGATCAAAAAGTTTATTTGGCTATTAAGTACAAAATTTATTTAATGAACTGAACAAACTTCATGGCCAACTCAATACATAGGTGAACTTAAATTGGATGTAGCAAAAAAAAATTTTGAATCCTTTTTGTGTAGAAAGGCACAAAAAAATTCCTTACACGCAGTCATTGACCATCAAGGAAAAAAACTGCCTTCAATTGGCTGATTCTTTTATGAGAAAAAAAAATGTAGAAAAATATGAATTAACAAAAATACAATGAAAATGAAGAAATCTTAGTCTTAAATTGCCAATTTGCCAAATATCTCTTAAATGTCAGTATTAAAACAAAGAGCAAGTGAATGTGGCACTACAGAGATGACATAGACACTAACCTTTTGAAAGGATTATGTGCCTGAGCAAAACACTGAATAGCTTTTTCTATGTTTCTTTTTCTAAGTAAATGAAGACAATGGATAAATATCCAAAAAGAATCTAAAAGGCTACAAATGGTTTTCTGTTATGTCAGTGATCCTCTTCACCCTTTCTCTTGTCTTTTAAATTTCAATGCTCTGCAGTTTGTCATGTCACAAGAGAAATATAAAGCATATATTTTCTGAAAGGTAAACTTTTAAGGATTTCATTTTAACTAAAATTAGTCTACTTCTAGTGTGGTATTTTGAATAACCTTTTCTCAAATTTTGTCAACTGATTGTTACTTAAAATAATTATTTTAAGAAAATAGCAACCAACCAAGAGAAATATTGATTTATATCTAACTCTTCAACGACACACTATGCATTTGAAGCAAAAAAAAAATACCTGACTATTTTCTCATGCCCTGCAATTTGTGTCCACCATGATCTACTTAGCATTATATATATCGATATCAATATTACATATATTGATATCATACTCAAAAGAAGAAGAAAAAAGAAGGAATAGTTGAGATTCGATGTGAATAAACATTTAAAATCTTAACAAAATTAGCCATAGTTTCTTACTCCAATATTTATTGCCTACTTAGATATACAAAGTTATTTTGATCATTTTGTTGAGGGTGGAGAGTCATTGATATTAGTGGATGCTTTCTTTCAATAAAAAAAATAATTGGGACCAATTTAAGAACAAAAAATTTGCTCTTTATTTTATGACTAGAAGTGAGATGGTTTTATCAGATCATAATCTTGTGGCTTTTAAATTCTTCATCAACTCTATTATTGCTACTACTAACCCATAATATTTGTAACATTTGCATCTTCTTACTGGCTTTTATTAAAGATTGTTTTAGTAATAACTACATGTTGCATTTAAGTCTGGTCATTAAAAAAATGTGATGTCTTAAAGTGTAAAAGCAAAACTTGATATCTTTAAAATTACTGTGTTTATATATTTGATCAAAGAGAGTCAGTCACTGTAATTTAAGAATGCAAATGGTGAAACTTGAAATGACAATACTGAAAATACTGTGTTCAGTATTTGTTTGAGTATTTGTTTCAATATTTGAAAAATGGAAACTTGATGCTCAACACAATAACTCTCACTTCAAGAGAATTTAAACTACAATTACAAAAAGAAGAATTAAATGAAAATCAAATTATTTAAATCTTTTTCAAAATTATTAATTCTGAAATTATTGATTTGCCACTGAAATTCACCATGTAAAACATAAATTTGCATATACTAAATATAGCATCTATTATGGGATAGATTTTGTAAAAACAATTTGTTCCATAATGGTTGTTACATTTGCATATACATTTCATACAGTAAATGTAACAATTATTATGGGACAGAGATGGCAAGATATTAACACTTTAAATTAGTTATATAATTGACACTTGTATATACTTGCAGATAGGTCACACTTTTTTTACCAAAAATTTCACAAAATATTAGGCGGTGTGATTTATCCGTTCGAGATAAATATAAAACAACTCTACCTTGTCATCATGATTTCTGAGAAATCGGAAATTATACCCATAAACACTAAATCTGTGGATTCAGTTCTGAATGAATTTTAAAACTGTAACTTGATATATAAATAGATAAACACTTTTTCTAAATGTACCGTAACATTTTCTTCTGTAGTTATTTCATTTTTTTTGTTGAGTTGACCCGATATAAAAATAATATGCGGTAAAAATAAAAATACTAATACAAGAGTTACTTTCTTTTGTTTACATGATGATTGATGAAATGTATTTTAACTGCAAAAGTGTATTAATAATTGTAAATTTTGAAATAAAGGTAGATATCTGATAATACTTATGTTTAAAAAGGACTGTGTAACGCCCCAGATTATGGTGCAACCTATCTGGTGTGTGTGTGGGGGGGGGTGACCTATCCATGAGTATATATGGTACACTCCAATTTTTTTGTATTGGGGACATTTATGATTGCAATTAAACTGGAAAAAAATTATTGCTCCATACTTTATGGCTATACACTCGTCATAAATTCTATTTTTGTTCTGTTGCTAAGACCCTAAAAGTGATAACATCTTTCCATAAAAGCAATGCCTGTTTATAATATTTACTGTTGATAAAACAAACAAAAAAAGTTAATGATTTTAAAGTGAACATAGATAATAAAGGGTTTTATATTCAAAAGCAGATTACCATTTTTTATAATAGATACATACAGAAGATGGTATATTTGAAAATATTGTTAAAAACAAAATGGTAGATATGTCAAATTTATAAGAAAATCAGCAATTTTATATTGAGCAACTTGATCAAAAAAAAATATTAGAAGCGATTGCCATACATATTTGTGTTATTAGGACATAGAATCTGAAAAAAGTGGAAAAACAAGATGAAAGTAGCCCATAATTCTTATTAACAATATGGATGATGAATGGCATGTATAGTGCTTATAAAAGAAGCCATAATGTTTATGCTGAAATCAATCTTTGTACAAATGTGCAAAAAAGCAGCTTTTCTTTTGATTCTGCATGTTTCTGTGTTAATGATTGTCTTTACTGCATGTTGTGATAAATTCCATATTCTCTTTCTGTTTTAATGCATTTAATGTTTATTTATTGGATGATGACATTTTTTTTTAACTTTTATAATTCCAGAATTCATCATTTTAAAGAAAATTATCAAAGCTAAAGTTTAAAATTATAAACATTGTTGAAATTTAATATACAAGGTGGTGCGAAAGTCTTGTCACTCCCTATAAAAAAAGTAATGAGAATAATAGAACAAGTAATTCAGTGATACAAAGCACATGTACTGGACTCAGTTTATTCACTTTTATTGATGCTGTCACACATTGAGAAGATCTGTATGAACACCATCATTTTCGTGTAGTAGCTAGTGTCTGCCATCTGAAATAGAAAATTATATTATGTAGGAGTGACAAAACTTTCAGACCACCCTGTTTGTTGTATTGTCTCTTTTTGTGGGAATTGTTTTTTTTCTTGCAGGTTTACATATTTCTATTCATATAGTATAAAGAAACACATTGAAGATTTGTTTTAGTAAAAAAAAAAAAAAAAAAAGTCCTCTTCAGTTGACTACTTTTAATGCCAAATTTTAAAATGTTATTATAATTAGAAATGTTATAAAAAATATTCTAAAAGACTTTCTCCTCCTTTTCTCTTTTTTGGGGGGCAACTGTGTATTTCATCTAGCAATTTCATTTTTTTTTTCTTCACCTCTCATTGCAAAAAAGAGAGGAAAGAGAAAATCCCTTTATAATATTTTTATTTGTAGTAACATTTTAGTTGTCTAGAATCATGAATGTTCTTGGGATTGATTGTGAAGTAGTTCTCCATGGCGATTTTATTGAGGCACCACCTAGTTATCAAGAGTTCTTTCACCCTTTGATAGGTCTCTACAGGGTTGCTAACAAGCAGCCATAACTTACCTAATGAGCTTGTGTAAATTGTTAACAGGGATTAGGAGAGATAGCAAAAACATAAAATTTACTGAGCTGCAAAAGACAGGAAACTGTGGAGAGCCATGATCGCTTATGTCCTGAAAGAACATGGTATATAAAAGAAGAATGTTTTAGTGTTTGATATTCTTTACATCTGTCAGCGATCCTCTTTAATAAGCATTGACCGAAAATTAGTGTTGCAATCTTATGTAAGCTAAGTGTCTGTTGAGATTGTGGGTAAACACCTAACCCATTGATTTCCCACCAACTATGGGGATAATAGGGAGAGGAGAAAGACACAGGAGGTAACAAAAAATAACACTGCCTTGGAAACCACAGAAACTTGAGGAACCATAATGCCCATGTGACTGACTTCACAAGATACTGTGTCTTGTCAACTGCTCTCAGTTTTTATTGGCATGAGACATCTTACAAAGACCTGGATCTCAATCAGTTGCAGAGTGGCCTGTATCTAGCTAGACTGTCCTGCTGCTGATGGAGAAAAACCCAGTTATAACTGGTGTTGGCAAACATATCCACATGCGATCCGAGGCCTCTTCTGATGTATGTTTGCCGTGGTTAGTCAGCTTAAGAGAACTTGGAATTATTTCCAAAGAAATTTTCTACCTGTCTCTGCTTTTTGCTCTGTGAGTTTTATCCTATCAAAAATTCACTGTTCTAAAATTTGTCATAAATTAAATTTCCTAATTGTGTACAATGCAGTGAATGCAACTGCCTTCAGAAAAAAAAAATGTAAAAATGATGTGAACAAATTTTAGTATGCAAATTCTTGTTCACTGTACCAATGATTCTAAAGGCTGCCCCTCCCACCAACTAAAAGCACTCTGGTTGCAGGCCTGCTTTTCGAATATTTTATTTCATTTGATGTTTGTTACTTCTGTCAACAATCTTCTTTCATAAGCATTCACTAAGAAGTAGATGACTTAAGAGGATTTCATTTTTTTTTTTTTTTTTTCCTAAAATTCTAAAGAAATTTTCAGCCTCTCTTGGTTCTTTATATGTTTTGTCTTACCAAAAATATAGGCTTACGACCATACCATGTTGAAACACCAGTTCTCTTATAATCACCAAAATTAAGCAATGTCAAGCCTGGTCAGTACCTAGATGGGTGACCACTTAGAAATACCAGGTGCTGTATGTTTGGATGTTCAGGTGACGTAATGGTTAACAGCTCAGAATTGGGAATTGGACAGCAGAGTTCCAATTCCAGTCAGGTACATTATATTCACTTAGGAACAGATACTCTTGGGGAAGGTATGAATCCGCCTCTTCTCCCCCAAGCTATGGATTAATTAGTTGGACTTGTATCAGTAAGTAATTATCTTCAAATTCTTACAATTTAAAGATATTTTATGTCTTTAAATAACCTGCATAAGGTTGATAAGCCATAAAAACAAATCAGTCAAAAATATATTTCTATTCATTAATAATCTCCATTATTGAAACTTGATACGTGTTTTTAAAATTTTTATGATTAATTTTTGTCTAATATGCTGATTTAAAAAAAAAAAAAAAAAAAAAAAAATTTAAAGAAAAATATTAAGAAATTTATTATGATATTGTCTATTTTTATTACTTAAATGTTATTTTTAGTGGGTATCATATTTGAGTAGACATTTTGTTTATTTTTACTGTTTAATAAATAAACAATGTCTACTCAAATATGAGTATCCACTAAAGATAATGTTTAAATAATAAAAATCAGGAATCTATGGTTTAGAACTAGTCTGACAAGAGAAGAGAGGCATTGATAGAAATGTGTCACCTTTTCTTTGTTTCTAGAGTTTGTTGGTGAATAGCTTGGCGTGATAGGCTCATGAATGTCAGAGCTAACTTGACCAAATAAAAATCTTTCGGATTAATAAATAAAAAAAAAAACGTCATCTGTCAAAACATCATTTTTATTCTTAGTCTTTTTTATTCTTAAATCTTCCAAGTTTTTTTGCTTACTGTTTTCTTTTTAGAACAGTAACTCTATTTTTCCTTCCTTTTTAATAATGTGAATGTTGTAATACTTAAATATGAAAAGCTTAAAGCATTTCTTTGTATGCAAGAAAGTTTTTTTTATTATTATTTTAAACTTTATCATCAGGATGTACCGATTGTATGGATCTTCACAAATATTTCTCTCTAGTTTTCCATCGCACCTGGTAGGTCTTCAGGTTGGCATTCTGTGTTTTCACATATTTACTGGATATATCTTCCTCAGTTTTTTTGAACAGGAGTAGAGGTTTATTCCTTGTTTCCTGTTTAGGACTGGGGTTCTAGTTCCTTCTAAAATTTACTTCAGCTCTGTACTCCTAATGCTTGTCCTTTCTTATGCAAATCCACACAGTAATCCTCTACTTTGAGTGGCTCTTGGGGTTTTATTCGGTGAGTATTAGTTAAAAAAAAGAAAAGTTTTGAATAGGTGACTAATTCTAATATGCCCCTGTTTTGATGTCTGCAACAGAATCTCACTGATAAGGTCATCTTTACTTATACAGTAGTGCCTCTCAAATCTTGTTAATGGTTTTTAAAGCATTCACTTTTACAATTGAAAAATATTTTTTATATACAAGTTTTTAATTACACTATTGTGTAATGATGATATCCCTAGAGATGAGGAGTGGAATGAGAACAGTCTACCCCTATAGATTAAAAGGTTCAGTTCAGAATTCCCTGTAGGTTACCCAGATTGATATAAACCTGTGGAAAGCTGGATGGTACAATGCCCGAAATCTTGTAATAACAAGATGAGGACAATAGCCTAGATATAAATAGTGTAAATAATGATAAAACCTCATCCCGGAAATTCATACAGAAACAGTGAGACTTTATTTATTACTGAAGATGTGGGGAATATGACATTTCCAGTGATTTGTTTTTTTTTGTTTTTTTTTGCTAGACTATAAATTCCTTTTCTTAAGACAAGAAAATCCAAGGCTTTGACTAAATCTAAACAGTATAATTTATTTAATAATAAAAATCCTTTAAATTTAATAGGAATTTTACATCACACAAAAAAAATTCCAGCTTGATCTCCTAGAGAACCCCATCCTATTATACTAATATAATAGGGTAAGTTTTATACTTTGATATCTGCAGCAAAGATCTTAGACAACCATGTTTTTTGTGGAAATCCCATATAAAAGTTACTTAGTGTAATGTTCTGTCTAATGGAAGTATGGATTCCACTTGGTAAATCAATTTTGTTAAATTTTGCTATGATGGGGTAACAAATAAATACAAAGCTAAAAAAAAAAACATTTTGGTTTTTGAAGAGCCTTGTTTTTATATTTTCTCAAAAGTAATATTCCATCGTAAATTTAAAAATTTAGTTCAGGTTAGGTTGGTAATTAACTTGGTATGAATTGGTCTTATAATCAGTTTTAGTAATTTTACAATTTTTTTGTTTGGTTTGCAATACTTCTAGAGTTTATTTTTATAAATCTAATCATTTTTGTTAGATGAAACTTAAGATTTTTTCTTAAGAGCTTTTATGAAAGAAAAAATGATTAAAGTGGTTTGTATGTTTAATGAATTGTTTTAGTTTTTAAAGTATTTTGTTATAAAGGGGGTGCTGAAAAGTTCTTGGATCAACCAAAAGCTGCCCTTTCAAAAAGAAAAAAAAAAGAAAATAATCAGATATTTGGTGAGATTTTAGGATGTGGGTGGGGACCAAGAACTTTCTGTCACCTTCTCATATTTAAGTGAACTGATGAATTTAAATAAATTTTGCTATTCAATTTGTTTCTTTTAATCAATTATGTCCATTCCCCCACATTTAGATTATGTCTAAATACCCCCCCATTTAGAATGAAGCTTGAAAAGCAATTTTAATTATGTTTTTATTTTATTTTTACTTGTCACCGACAATAAAAACTGACAGGAAAAGGTTTACACGTAATGTATTTTCAATTAGCGACCATGTTAATTACATGTAATTAACAAAGAGAAATTCAGACTGAATGTAGAAAATGGTTCCTTCATGTCTGTAAATGTTTAATATTTAATATAACCTGATCGTACTTGGTTAATAGAAACCTGATAATATACTTAAAACTTGTTTGGATTGCAATTAATGGAGGGAGGAGTGATGGAAGTCTTAGATGCTGTTATCATTGATTGCTTCTTTTTCCTTTTATTTTTTTCTGTCTCATTTCACCCCAAAGCTTGATGTGTATATTCAAGATTCACTCAATAATTCATTTTGGTTCATATTCCATATAAATGTTGTTATGACATTTCCTTTTCTTTAGAATAAACTTCAAGATTCAAGATTTTCAGTGTCTTTTAATGAAACCCATTTTAAAAATTCTGACTGTTTTTCTCTTTTACTCAAGTTGCCTTCTTGATTTTTTTTTTTTTTTTTTTTTTTTTTTTTTAATCTTGCACAAATTGAAACAATGAAAAATTCTCTCAACTCTTCCAAAATGTCCAGCAAATAAAAAAAAAACAAAATAGATACAAAAAGTTTCAAGTTTATTTGTTGCTAAAACTTTTATTTTAAACAATTATCCTTGCCTGTTCCTTGAAATAATCCAAATTACATACACCTTTTTATAACTATGAGAAGAGCCATAATCATTCCATTTGTTGTTCAGACTATTTGACACCTGAAAAAAACCATAGAAAGAAGCAGCCAAAATAGTAGGTTCTGTAATTTTGAACATTCATTTACTTGTGGAATATTTTTCATTTCTGAAACAAAAGTATTTTAATTTGGATTTTTCAAAAATGTTAGGTCTTGTTTTTTTTTTTTTTTTTTTTTTTCACATTATCATTTGAACATGATTTATTAACTCTTAAATCATAATTGTTTCAACAAAATATCTGGGATCTTTTCTATCTAAAATCAGGTAAATAAACGTTGAAATATAAATAAAAAATATGTGAACCAACTACAATGCAATAATTATTATTTTATAAAGAAATTGACGAATTTGACAAATTGTTGATTGATTGGCAAAACATCAGTTAATTGCCAATCAATTCAAATATTCACATAATTTTATAATCTTGTAAATATAAATAAACAATTTTAACTACTAAATAGTATGTAATATTTCTGTTATTAAAATTCTAACTATAGCATTTTAAGACAATAAAAATTGCTGAGGGAAGAGGTATACAGTAATAGCAGTGTCAAGAGAAAACATACTTTTGACACTTTTTTTTTGTGTGGGTAAATATGTTAAACATTGCCAAATTTTTCTTTGTTTTGGTCAGTTTTATTTTCATTCTCTGATATAGAATATAGCCTTGATACAGTCTTGCTGACTGCATGCTCTATAGTATATGTTCCCCACCCACAAAGAGATTATTCTTGACAAGGACACATTGACCACCTTAATATTTTTTTAAATGATTTATTAATAAAACATTAATAAATCATTTAAAAAAAAATTAAGGAATAAAGAGTTGATTTGTCATCAAACATTGATGAATTGTTATCAGCAAGGACTAATCTTGAGAAAGGTCTTTTTTCTTTTTTTTAACTCAATACAATGCCTAAGGGCCACTCAAGGTAGAGGGTTACTAAGCGAAATTGTTGTAAAGGAGGGGAAGGAAGAGAGTGTTATGAGGACAAGTAGGATAGATATTAAATATCTCGGGACTTTTTTCCACAAAGCAACAGTTCTGGAGAAGCTGTCTGAGTAGAATTTTCTTTTTTATCTAAGAATTATTAAGGGAATGTAGATGGTTTAACACCTGGACATGGTAGACTGGGTCCCAGCTCTGAAGATCTGAGCTGGTGAAACTAAGAAATGCAACTCCTCCAAAAACCTGCCATAGCAAGTGCAATAAAGTAGTGCAAGGCTGGCAATATTTCATCTGTGGGATACAGGTTGCAACAAATTGTATCTGTGTTTCAGGTTTCTTGTAAATGTTGGCCATAAAAGCAATCAATTTGGCATATGTCAGTTAGAAATAATGAACTGAATTTAAAGTTGTACTTACGTCCTCCATTCTGTGATTTATCACTTGTTTATCTGATTAAGTTATCATTCTATAATCAGATTACATATATTAAAATAGAAATGGGGTAACCTTCAAGAAATCATTTTCTTCTCTCTTGCTGTTAGATTACAATAATAATACTGGTAGAAATCTAAAATATTTAAGATAATTAATTTTTTGAAAAACCTAAAATTAA